TCTTCCCAAATGAGAAAGGTATGGATGTTTCTGCTTCAGTGGGTACTTGGCTTAACGGAGTATCATGTGTATAAGTGAGACACGGGCTTTGATGAGCAACTTGACACCACATTTGCCTAGATCAGTTCTGCTCGTGAATAAATAGTGCCTATTCTCTCCATCCTCCTCTGTATGGCAGCGGCTTCAGACCCTTCTTTGAACTCTGCAATATCCATTTGCCTGTCTCTGGAGGCCAAGTTTGTCTTGTCTCTTCTAGGGTGGGCGAGCACAACCACCAGGTGCCCAGATGGGGTCTAAGCAACTTATAGCACAACAGAGCTCTTACCACTGAGGGTCTGGGCACTGCATTTCTATTAAAACAGCCTAAGGCCATTCTCAGGGATCACGTTATATTATTTACTCACACTGAGTTTATATCAAGCAAAGCTTTTTCTTCTTGAAAATATGTTAGGGTCTATTAAAATTATGACGTTCTTAAGCTCAAACACTGTAGTTTATCTGATCACACATACACACACACAAAAGCACATATAAAAACTGGTGATATCAGAATATGATCTGTAGCCTAGTTTATAGTATCAAACTCATGTTAATTTCCTGCTTGATATGGTACTATAGTTATGTAAGATGTTATTTCTCAGGGACAATGGGGAAAAGGTACATAGTCTCTCTGTTGCCTTTTTCCAACCTCCTGTGAGTTTATAAATATTTTTAAACAAGAAGTTTTAACAAAATTAGTATTCAAGACCATCCATCAATGCTTTGGCTTAATTTCTTTGGCCATATCTTAATTTTTTTTTTTTAAATATGTACCCTTTACTCTCTAAACATGATGAAATCTGGTTTCACCACTTTGTAGTTCCATGACCTTAGGCAAGTTTAATTAACCCCTCTTGACATTAATATCTTCATTTTTACAATGGAATCAGCTAGATTAGTCATTTTAAGGATTGAGTTAATACATACTTAGAAGAGTACCTGGCCCACAGCAAGCACCCTGTAAATACTGGCAATGATGACAGTGACACCAATCACGGTGAAATGGTGAACTGGCGCTCACACCGACCTCGAGACAAGCCTGGTTACCTCCCACTCGGCCTCCCATACTCAAGCCTCCTCACTGCCACAAAGTCAGCTTGGGGACCATGTGTAGGAAGTGCATGTAGGAAAGGATTTAACACAAGGATACAGGTGCTTGAAAGGACTGCGGAAAACAAAGGTCAGGGAAGCCTCTGCTAGTTCTTAGGTTTGCCGCTGACATTCACAGAATCAGAAAGTTCAAACAACTATGGGAAATTGCCATCAATGTTCACAGCTACCTTGAGCATGCAAGTAGGAAAATGCCAAAAGTCAGGAAAAGCCCTCAACTATGCTGTAGCTCACACATCGGATTACTGTTGTCAAAGGAACAATAATATGGTTTTGTGTCTCCTTTGCCTCCAAGTTCTGTGTAAGACTCTCATTGACAGAATCTTTCCCAAAATGTAACTAACAAGGGTTTCATGGAATTGTTGCTCCTAGCCTTTTAGTCCCTATGATGCAGAGGAACTACATAAGAGAACAGAGAAAGTGTTCCAATTTGACAAAAGACAAAATACATTACGTTTTTCTTGACTGCTTTCATTATTGTGCCAGTCGCTTTTCTAAACACTCCTTATATTCCTATTTTTTGAAACTTCTTACATAAAATTTTACATTGTAGCCATTTATGAATGTGGATTAACTCTCTTACTAGACATAAAACTCTAGAAGTTTAAAACAGCATTGGCCACGTAAGAGATTCTCACCACATGTTTATTAAAAGAGTGTATTAATGTATCCCATTCCTATTTTTTCATCATTTATTATTTGATATGAATAGCAATTTACAATGGAGCAAACCCTAAACTCTGAGGTGCAGAGAGAGAAAGAAGAATCATTTGCACAAATAAAAATTGAGTGGTCTATTTAACCTCTTCTAAAAAGCACTTAAAATATTTCAATAAAAAGATAAGTTTTCAATAAAACTGAAACATTTAAATGTTGAATTCTGTACAGAGAATGAATAGCAATCTTGTGGTGATGGCTTTCCCAGTTTCTGCCACTAAAAGAAAGGCAGCCTCTTGCCCAGACACCTGAAATGGCTTAAGAAGTACTTAGGTCCTGTGTGCCGTCTCCACTTCCATGGGTGGGCAAAACTGCAGGAAAGAAAAGGAAAGTGCTGAGTGTGGATTCACTAATAGAAGAAACCTAGCACTATAACTCTGAGAGCACTGAAGACAAGTCACTGCAGCAGGGAGCTGGCCTTGTAGTTCTACTGACTGACATGATGAGACTGTATTTTAAAACAACACTGAAATCACCTTAAGGATGTAATGTTCTCCTTTTGGAATGGCCATTTTGTATAGAAGAAAGAACAGTCTCTTGTGGTTCAGAAGCAGTCTGACATTTAGGAAATGCAGTAGTGCAATTAACAGCTGCTTCTCTAATAAACTTTTTTTTCCTGTGGGGCTAAAATTCTTCACTGAGGCAGCTGTTAATTTCCAAATCAAATTCTGCTGGGTAGAGGGTGACTATTTATAGAGGCACTATTTGGGAAATTCTGAGAAAGACACTAGCTAGAACTGACATTCTCTGGTCATGAACTTATTCTGCTCTTTTTATTTATTTATTTTTGTCACAACCTTGAAAAAGGTCAATGTAGTTAAGAGTTAATGGATGGAGTACTGGATGGCTCTATCTGTGCAACTGGATCTCTTTCAGAGGCAACTTATGCAGCGGTCCTCATTATTCTCGATTAAAACCATAACTACAGAAATGTAGAAAAACTACTTCCGGAGGTATGTGAGGGGACAAATACATTAGTAATAACTCACTATGCCGGGTGGAAGGAATGCTCCTTCAAAAGCACGATGATCCTGCCTTCAACTATGTTGGTTGAAGGTGATTATGAAGACATCACTGGTATCCCTGGGTCTTTCTTAATGCTCCCTTCTTCCCTTATTCCATATCCCTTTCCTCTCAGATGGCCAATGAAGCTTTATCCCTCTTTTATGATATTCTCACAGGAAAAGTCCGATGTCATATATTTTTACCCAAATGCATTACTTACTTAAGTCTGACTTAGAGTAGAACTATATCTCTCATGTAAAAGAACTTCAGGTTTCCATAGCCAACTGCTCGACTCAAACAAGCCACAATCTCAAAACCATAAATAAGAAAGAAAAAATATTTCTTTGACGACTTCTACAATACTAAGACTAGGGTCTCTGTCATATTTATTTACACATTCTCCTCCTAAAAAAAGCACAGGCTTTCCCTCCAATCTGTGGTAGCTGGGATTTTCCAAAGTTGAAATTTGAAGTCATGGGACAGAATACTGGATAGCTCTAAAGATCTTTCTGGTTTCCTCTCTACAGTTCGGAAAGGGGTCTGAGAACATAAGTATCTGTTTTTGGATTCGTTTATATAACCAAAAAGCTATTGAGAGAGAGGCCATTTGGGCTTGCTTGTCTAACTAGACTGCACGACATTTCACAGAAAGTTACGGTGCAAGTCTATGATGCCTTTTCTTCAATTCTGAAATTCAAAAATCCTGAAAAAATGAAAAGATTTTTGTGACTTATTTGGTGACAAAACCTCACTTGGTCTGAATTATTTAGTAGCAACAGTTGACTTCAATTGATGTGAGTCTTTTTATAGCACTTATTCTTCTTAGGGTGACTATTAATACATTTTACTGTAGTAATATGGTAATTATAAGGCAATGCCCCAGATCTCTGATAAGTTACATGCAATATATAGTGTATGCAATGTACATCACTCAAAAATTCCACAAATTTATAAATTATAAAAATATCTGGTCTCAAAATCGTCACACTCTCGGAATGTCAGTTGTCAGACTGCTAACCTCTGTTGATAGAAGAGTCATCTACTGAATTCTGGTTTCTTTCTCACAGAAGAATGAAAATGCTTCTAGTTTTTTTTTTTTCCCTTTAGCTCCTTTAAAACTTTGCTGAAAATGGATGATCAATGAATATTGTTGACTAAATAATTTATTGTTGAGTAATATAGCTAAAGGTAAAGAAGATGAGGTAGAAATAGATACATGGAAATATGGGGACATCAAGATTTATTTTCCAGGTGAATAAGGTTTGGAAGAGGCAGAATTTTAAAAGATGAAGCTTCCAAATATAAAGTATTAAAAATACTCTTTCATAGAAAACCAAAATAGATTTTTTTTCATTCTGTGCTTAATACCAGGATACCTGTGATTCCTTAAACACTGTGTGTCTTACAGAGTAGAGAACTGGGATAACTATTAAAATTAGTTTATAAATCAGCTATCAATAATTTAAATCAGCACACCAGCTGAATGTGATACATTCATAATTTCATTTAAGGCTCATAAAAACCATGTAAGGTAGAAGTACTGTGTTTCCCATTTTATAGATGAGGAAGTTTCTTGATAAGTCAAAAAACTTGTCCAAAGTCATTTAATAGTAAGGGTAATAGCCAGCGTTCAACCCCAAGCAGGGTCCAGGTTAAAAAGAAAAAGTGGACAGTCCTTGCAATAGCCACATGATATTGCATAATCTTTGCTAGACTCTGTTCTCTCAGGAGGGCTTAGTTGAGAATTCTCAGAAAGGCCCTTTTGGACATCAACTATGTCATCAGAGAAGCATTTAGCAGCAATGCAGAACAGAAAGTCCAGTAATCCTTAACTAATAAGGATTTATATTTCTTGCTATGTGGGAAAGCTCTTGAAGGTGGCAGCTTCCTTTGACATGGACTCTTGCCCTTCTCCCGTCTCCCTTTGCTCTTTCTGCTTGGATAGAGCCATCTTGCAACCCCTGAGCAAGAAGAACAAGGGTGAGAGCCATCTGCTAAAATGACTGAACCGTAAGGGAAGAAGGAGCCCAGGTACTTGAGACCGTGGAGCTACAAGACCCACCATGGGCTGCTGGACATGTTCTGCAAAGAAAATAAAACCTTTAAACTGCTTAAGCCAATACCTGCTTGAAGTTTCTGTGGCTTGAAGCAGATGTATTCGTGGCAGATGTACAGGAGAGTTCTATTGTGCTCAAATGAGGAAAAAGAAATGGCTCTCCTTTTCACCTAGAGGTCAAGAGAACATGGCTCCTCATTTTCTGCTTCTGATTCTGTAGTGAGACATTCAAATCTTTTTAGTCAGGGTTAGCCTCCCACAGTTTTTAATGTTTTTTGGTTGAGGTTGGCTTCATGTGTCCTATTAGAGAGGACATGCTGTAAGGTTGTGTCTTGGACCCTGATTTTCCACTTTGGTTCCCGCCACACCTTATTTGTTTATTAGGTCACCAATGTTTCTTCAAATCAATTCAAGTGCTTAGAGCTACAGTGACTGCATTTTCTCAGCTCAAGCAGTTGATGTAGTCACAAGTGTCAAGCAAATACATTCACTGCCGAATTAGGAACATTTCATACTATTTCAATGTACATACAGGATAGTCGCATGTTTTCTCCATTAAAAAATAATTTTAATTCCACCATGCAGAGCTAATCACTGTTAACTCTTAACAGCATTACCTCCTAGATACATATGGAGACAGACATAAGCATTACATCCCCACTCACCTGCTTAAAATCTTAATGTACATTCAGCATTTTTAAAAAATATTTTTATTTAGTTATTTCACAGACCGAGATCACAAATAAGCAGAGACACAGGCAGAGAGAGAGGGGGAAGCAGGCTCCCTGCTGAGCAGAGAGCCCAGTGTGGCCCTTGATCCTAGGATGCTGAAATCATGACCTGGGCCAAAGGCAGACGCTTAACCCACTGAGCCAGCCAGGTGCCCCTACAATTCAGCTTTGTATCCTGCCGAGGGTTCACATTATGAAGTGAACAAGTCTCTCTTCTTTCCATAGCATAGTCTTTAAACCATGATTTGTTTTAGTGGCTGCATCATATTGTATTATATTACAAACTATATTTTATTTTTTACAATTCACTGTAGATGGATATTTTACTTGATTTGATATTTGGCCATTATAAACAACACAGTAACGAATAACAGTTATGTGTACATTTCACGCTTTTGTTAGTTCTGAATATTTTCTTAGGACCAATTACTAGAAATGAACCTTCTGGACTAGAGTTACAGCTGTTTACATACTACGAAATGCCTTTTGGAGAGACAGAGTGGAATTTTAATCCTGCCAGTGGTGTGTATGCAGCTTGCTGGGCTCGCAATAGTTTCAGCACTTTCATCCAACTTTGACAGGTTTAAGAAGTCTGAAGCCTATTTCATAGGAAAAAAAAAGTCCTTAAATCTTACATCTGTTTAGTAAGACGGAACATCTAATTCATATGTTAATTTGGGGCTATGCTTTATTGCTCTGTGAATTACGTAGATATATTTTACTGGGATATTTTAATTACTAACATATCATTGATATAATCTTTTTCTTCTCTGTATTTATGAAAAATACATTCCTGGTACAGGTACTGATATTTCCCAAAGGTGACCTACCTGTGGCCTTTCTGTGATGCTCCTATGGATACAGTAAATAGAAAACCTTGTGCAATTTGCAGAAAGCATTGGCATCTGCTGTTCAATAACTCGGAGGAACTTATACTCTTGATATTAGTGTTTCTTTCCTGAGTTTTCTTCACAAACGGCATGCACATAGAATGGGGGTCCATATTCTTTCTTAAGTCACGTACATACTGTGAACAGTAAACTTGAAGTCTTTATCCCCTGATGCGTGCTTCACCTGTACCTGACTTGCAGCTTTGTAGTCAGTCCCTCAACGTTTCCCCAAATCCTTGACTCTGAAAGTGTATGTTACCCTGAATGTCTTACAGCACTTTTTGAAGATCAAATATTTGTATCTCTTTTCTTTAGCTACTCTGAAAGTGGTACCATTTACCTAGAAATGTGCACAAACAATTAACTTTAGGCATTTCTTTAAATCTGTTTGATACTTTAACTTCTTTGAAGCTAAAACAAAGCCTCGTGTGTGAATCCAGTATTCCATATTTTTATTATAATCACCTATTATAAGTTAGAGCACACTGAATACCTTGCTTTTTTTTTTTAAACCTACCACTTGAAGCACCCCTTTGTTCTCACAAAAAGATTCTACAGTTCCCAGAGTTTATTACAACTGGGTACTTTAAAAAAAAGTAATAGCTCTCTAGAGTTTAAAAATTTTAAATGCTAAACTCACCTTTTCTGCTACTGGTTGCATATGCTCCTCATTCTCCCCAGACCAGCTCTACAGACTAAGATTCCTCATCGTGAAACCAGAAACTGATGATGTCATGTCTGAGAATTTCATTGTACAGCACTGACAATGGGGAGGAAAGGACTCCCCCCTCCCCTTATTTGTCTCTGAATAAAACATCATACTACCTCTCAAACTTGCCTAAAATAAATACGTACTATGTCTGATCGTTACTCTACAAAGAGCCCTATAGGAATACTATGTAACGTGGTGGAAAACTAAGTCAGACATAGTATGTTTCAAAGTGAAAATAAGGCGTAGCCTTTCTTTTAAAGGAAGATTTCTGCTTTTAAGGTTTGCACAAGGTCAATTATACCAAGGAATTATTTCTGCTGAACAATATATATATGAACAATATACACATGAACAGTGCAAATAAGATCAACGAGAGAATGTTAATTACATTACAGTGGCTTCCTTTGGTTGCATGCTCAATGTTTCCATCAACTTACAGCCCTTCATACTTAGTATCTGATTAATTTGTTCTGAGATATTCTCTTAGGACGGTCAATATTTGGAGTCAGTAACAGTTATAGTAACTAGGATTTACTGAGCTTGTGTTAAGTCCACCCATGGCCTGCACTGGCCTATACAGAATCTTAAAATAACTTAGAAAAAGCCTCTCAGGTGGTGGGTACAGGGCTTAACAAGCAATGGTACTCTTGTACAGATTTAAAGATACTTCCCCCAAAATGCAAATAGATTAAAGACCTAATGTGAGACCTGGAACCATGGAACTCCTAAAAGAAAACATAGGCTATAATCTCTTAGACCTTGCCCCTGGAAACATATTTATGGATAAGTCTCTTGAAGCAAAGGAAACAAAATAAAAAGTAAACTACTGGGACTATATAAAAATAAAAGATTTTGCACAGTAAAGGAAACCACCAATGAAATAAAAAGGCAACCTACTAAATGGAATAAGATATTTGCAAATGATATATCTCATAAGGTGTTAAAATAAAAAAAATATATAAAGAACTTATATAATTCAACATAAAAAAACTGCCTAAAACAATGGGCAGAGGACCTGAATAGACACTTCTTCAAAGATGATCTATAGATGGTCAGTAGACACATGAGAAGATATTCAACATCACTCATCACCAGGGAAATGCAAATCAAAACTGCAATGAGATATGACCTCACTCCTGTCAGAATGACTAGTATCAAAAAGAGAAGAAATGACAGCTGTTGGTGAGGATGTGGAGAAAAGGGAACCCTCCTGCACTGCGGGTAGGTATGTAAATTGATGCAACCACTGTGGAAAACAGTATGGAGGTTGCTCAAATAAACTGAAAATAGAAATGTCTATGACTCAGTAATTCTCTACTAGGTATTTTCCAAAGAAAATGAAAACACTAACTTGAAAAGATAATATGTACTCTCATGTTCATTGAACCATCACTTACTGTTGCTAAGATATGGAAGTAACCCAAGTATTCATTGATAGATGAACAGACATATATATGCTGTGTATAGACACACAGACCTAGACATACACACTGGAATATAACTTAGCCACCAAAAAGAATGAGATCTTGCCATCTGCAACAACATGGATGATGTAGAAAATATTGTGCTAAGTGAAATCAGTCAGTCACAGAAAGACAAAGACCACATGATTTCACTCATATGTAGAATCTAAAAACCAAAACACATACAAATAAACAAAAAATGGAAATAGACTCATAAATATATTATGAGAACAAGCTGGTAGTTGCCAGAGGGGAAGGGTGGGGGGATGGGTAAAATAAGGGAGGGGGATTAAGCGGTAAGAACTTACAGTTACAGAATAAATAAATCATGGAGATTTATGAACAACACATGGAGATTTTAGAACAACACAGGGAAAACAGTAATATTGCAATGATGTTGTATGTGTGTAAGTACATTTATAGTGATAAGCACGGCATCACTGGAGCCACCATGTTGTGCACCTGAAACTAATATGAAATTGTATGACAATTATACTTTAAAATATTTTTTAAGTTATAAACACATACATACATACATACATAAGGTCCTGTCTCATCCTCTAGGCAGACACAGTCCCATATCCAGGCTCAGGCTTAGGGAATGGCATATGGATAGATTTTAGTCCCTTCTTGCTTCCTCAGCAAGAAATCTTTGTTCATGGTACAATGTACACATCCATGCGTAGTGTGAAGTACTTTATGTGGATGAACTAGATTGTGGGGGCAAGACCTCCACAATTTGGGAGTTATTATCGAAAGCATAGTGAGCTTAAGTAACTCACAAGGGGAGAACAGGTGGCCAGGGACGTCCTAGCTTCCTGACACATCTCAGGTGGGCTGAGAACGTGGCCTGCAGGAGGAGAAAACTGCCTTCCATGAATTCAGAAACCCTGGTATTTGTATGAGATGGTTAACAGAGCCCCTGAAAGTGCTTCCCAGCCTCCCAGCTCAGCCCTAGAGTTTACAACCGTGGGAGGGAAGGAGAAGGGTTTGTGACAAACTAGGAAAGCAAGCCTAATAAAAGTGGTGTAACAACAGTTACCAAAAGCCTCAGCAAGAGGATGATGGGACATTTACAGATTACTCAGGGTTGTGTCACCTGGAGCCATCTTTTTCTTTAGATACATTGATGTACCTAGACCTGATAGCATGAAGATCTGAGGAGCATATGTTGTATTCTTAAGTCATCCACAGAGGCCAAAGTCACCCAGAATTATTTAGTGTCATCAGATAGGACTGTGAGCAAGGGACACAATGGGGAAGCAGTGCTCAGGACCATGTTGGGGATCAAAGGATGTCACTTGGGCAACCACAGTGCCCCAAGTGCCACACAGCACCAGTGGCTGGGATGTGAGTCTGTAATAGCACGGCAGCAAGCATGGGGGCACCAGGGGAGGGGGTGACCTGGAACACTCCAGGTGAGTATGGGTTCAAAGGTCCCTGCCACAAGAGAGGCCTGTTTGGGAGTTCAGAGCTGAAGACTTTAGATGGTTTCTTACGCCTCTGTTTGAACACAACACCCCATACCTCCCGCCTTTTTTTTTTTTTTTCTGGAAAGCAGGAATGAGAGCCAAGGAGACAGGCTATCATGAAGCGGAAGGATTTGTACAAACGAAGGAGATGAACATCTTCAGGAAGTGGGGATAACTCCAGCAAACGAGACTGTGCTCAGGAACCACACCCACTGGCTAAGGCAAAAAGCTTGTCCTGTGGGACAGTAGAAGCCAAGACTGAAGGTAGGTAGGAGTCACATTGCAGACAGGTGTGAATTCTAGAATGGAAATTCACATTTTTGAATATCTTTTATTTGCTGGGCAATGTAATATACATGAGGTCATTCCATTCTTATAATAACCACTATTTTTAATGGTTTTTATTTATACCTAGAATTCCCATTTTACTGATGAGGAAAATGAATTTCAGGGAAGTTAAATAACTCACCTAAATTTAAGGGTAGATCAGGGATTTGAACCCAAATTTATCTGATCCCAAAATCTAATCACTTTTTATTATCCCATGTCGTCAGATTTTAACAAGTGGGTTCTTGAGAAACATGATGGGATTAATGTCTGAGGAAGATTAAAATAATTCTGGTGAGTACAATGGACTGGAGCAGAGAGACCAGAGACAGGGAACATTTTAAGGAAGTAAGTGTAAGCAGAACCTAGACTAGGTTGATCGCAAAGGAAAGATACAGAGATAAGAGAAGTTCCAAAAGAAGAGTCGGTAGGATTTGGTATCTGGCTGAAGAACAGATGAAGAAAAGGGAAGAGCCAGATAGAGCAGTGGAAGAAACATTCAGTAGGGATTTAGGAAACTAAGCATTAAGGCTGGCTGTGTTGCTTGTAAAGTGAATTTGGAAAAACTGAGTCCCTTTGAACTGTGTGGTCTTGCTTGGATTATATATCTTTTAAGACTTTATCCAGCTCTAAAATTCCATGCATCTTTGACTCAAGAAAGGTCACAAGACTGGCTGGCTGGAAGAACATTCTTTCATCAATAGAAATAACATTTCACTGATGGATATACATTAA